CATTGTCTCTTGGAGTTCCTTGGGCTAGGCCTGACACTTCCAGCATTTTCCCCTTTCAGCCTGTGTGCTCTTAGTCTTCTACTGAGCCATCTATCTTCCCTAAAAAATCCCCATGACCTTGGCACTGACCCAACCGCTTTCTTTCACCCAGGCACTTCAACCTGCCACAGATGGGCACTTTTCAGTGCAATTTTTGAGGCAACTATGGTTGTTTTATTGCAGGACCATCCAACCCACACTTAACTAGCTTGTTAATCAGTGTATCGGTTGATGCTTTGTCAAATGCTTTCAGAAGTCAAAGTATATTATGTCTACGTCATTCCTGCAATCTATTAAAGAAGTGCAAATAAAAAATGATGTTAGATCAGTCTTGCAAGATTTGTTCTTAATAACCCTATGTTGACTTATGGTAATTACCTGTTTCAGGAAACTTTCAAATTGTTCCCTTTGGGATCTGCTGCAGAATGTTCCTAGGTATCAGTGTCAACATGACAGGTCTGTAGTTTTGTGGATCTTCCCTTTTCCCATTTTTGAAAATAGGGACATTTGCTGTCCTTCCCTTCCCTTTTTGTCCAGGATTTCTCAAAACAGTTCAGCCGGACCATCAGCCAGTTCCTTTGGTACCGCAGGATGCAGCTCATCTGGTCCTGGAGATTTAAGCTCATTCAGAGTAAAGATTTTCTCCTCTCTGTCAATCTCAAGCTTCAATCATCCCCTACTCATTTTTGTTAATGTGTACCCTGTTAACATTTCGATGGGCCAGCTGGTTTGCTTTTATTTTTTAACACAACTAAAGAAGCCCTTCTGGTTATTAGTATTCTTTGCTGACCTCAGGTCATTCTGAGCTTTCTCTTTAGATACCAGTTGTACATTCTCAGACTGTCTGTCTCTTTGCATTTCCTGTATGTGGTTTTTTTTTTTTTAATTGCCACTGTGCTCTTTGTGTAGCCTTCCATTTCTCCTCTTCACTGGAAGGGTTTAGATTTGTACTTTTAATATGTCCTTTGGGAACTCCCATCTATCTTGAGTTCCCTTTTCCATTAATTTAACCTGCCATGGGGTCTACATATCTATTTCAAGCTAAGTAGATATATAGAGGATCATTCTGTGCTTATTTTATTGAGAGTAAAGTTCTTATTTAACAAGGTGGGATTTGCACTGCACCCCTGGGAGTATACTTCATTGAACATTATGTTAAGAGAGAAGCTGTGATGGCCCTGTGGTTGCAAGAAAAAAAGCAATATTGAGACATTTAGATTAGCTCCTGTAAGTTTTCAGAAGGGTAAATATATTAATATTTTGAAACAAAAGAACCAAAAGCCTTGTAGTTCTGTTCCATTTGCCAGTCCCATATAGAGCTGTTGGTGGGCAGAGACAAAGGTACCCTGGTGTTCATATTCAGATTGTCCTCGTTTAGCGAGTGCCTTATTTAATGACTGTTCACAGTTACCACAGTGATGAAAAAGTAGCTTTATGACCAGTTGCATTTACAACCTTTTCAGGTCTGTAAAGCAAAGAAAAGCTTTGAAGTAAGATCATAAGTGTAGTTGTGGTTTCACTTAGTGACTGCTTTGCTTAATGACTGAGTTGCCAGTCCCAGTTGTGGTTGCTAAATGAGGACTACCTGTAAATAATTTCTCAAGAATGCATTTTGCATCTGTTGAAACAGACTCTGATCCATGAAAGTTGCAAGTGTTTTGTTATCAATTGGAACCCTTTGAAGGTTTTCAGTCTGGTTCAGAAAGCTATTGGGAAGGTAGCCTGTCTTTAAAAAAATTGAAGGTTTAACTTAGTTAGCAGCTTGAAACCTACACTTCAAAGAACATGAAATGGTTTGATTGCTTGTATTTGCTCCTTATCCTGAGTTCTCCCTCCTTTATTTGAGCCCTAAGAAAGAAGCTGAAACTTTGAAATGTTGAGGCAAAACTTGAGATGTAACAGCTGTACTTTTTTATAAGATCACTAATCATATTCTGAGTTTTAAAGCCCTTTTTAATTATGGGAGTGGTGTCTGTAAAATACATTAAATTAGGAAGCCTCGAGGGATATGAAACTTTCAAGCTGAGGAATGTCAGAGTATGGCATTTTTTTTAATACAGCTGTACAAAAACAATTAGAACAGGGGCTCTGCAAAATGAAGAATCCATCCTTAAAGCATTAAATCAGCTGCATCTCTGGAAAGTTTGTGTGTTCCCTCTGAAGGCTGTCCCTTGTTATCTATACTTGTGTGTGCACGCACAAGCAACGTGTCTACTCAGACCACCGGCGAAATGGTATGTACACACATTCAGATACACAGCTGGAGACAGCCTTCCAGGCAGCCCCACGGAGCCTTCTGGAGGATACAGCGACTGGAACACTTTGAGGAGAAACTCTTGCTTACGCCCACACGCTTGTGAAGCACCTCTGTGGAATGCTCTGCGCAGCCCTAATATTTATTACCTTTAAAGCCATGCTTGGCTTGGATCTGGGTTATTGTCAGGTCATCTGGAACAACATTGGAAAAATGTTTCAATGAATTGGAAAAAAAAACCCTGCCTTTTTTGCTGGCATTTTAAAGGATCTTTAAAATAATTTAAGAGGTTTTTAATTGTTAATGGGCTTGACCATTTTGATATCTGATTATGACTTTAATACTTTGATTAACAGTTCTTATTGTAAACTGCTTTGAGATGTGATAACAGCAGTATAAAAATACAATAACCATATCCAGCAAGTACCAGGTGCTGGAGACGAAACAGGGTTAAGAGTCGCTGCCATCTTGCTCCTGCTAGTGAATTATCTGAAGCATCTGGTGGCAGAATGTTAGCTAAACATTCATATTATAGTTCAGGGTTGACTTGTCAGGTTCTTGGGGTTCTCTAAGCTGGGTTGTTTTTTGCAGGCATTTCATTACTAGGCTAGGTAACATCACCAGTGGGAGGGAGAGCAGGATGTCAATGAACAAGCTCAGCACGAAGAACCCAACAGACCCGCTTTTATCTACTGTTTACCAGGTTGTTGTGTTTCTTCCTGTACTGCTTTTTTTAAAAAAAGAATTACATTATTTTCATTTAGGAACAAGAACTTAAAGCTGCTGCAGATAGTGTGTTATCTGAAGTGAGAAAAAAGCAAGCAGACACCAAGCGAATGGCAGAAATTCTGCGTGGCTTAGAAAAGCTTAGGAAGCTAAGAAAAGAAGCAGCAGCAAGGAAAGGTAAGCTCTCTGGACTTTTATTACCATTCATAATTATGACTCTGGGTGTGTGTTTTACTCTGTGCTTACTCCTTTTGGTGCACTCTGTACGGTTGGGAAACTTTGTGTTAAAGCCCGGACATTTCTATCAGCGAGTCTTGCCTACATAGCTTCCTTTTCTGTTTTTCCTATTAAAACATGCTTTAGATATTAATGGTCATTATAAACTTAGAAGACTTGCATTAAAAAGTTGGTAGAGTTTAGAAGCCAGGGCAGGCCTTGTCCAGAAGAGCCTTGGAATGGCTTGCTTTTCTGGCTTCATGTCTGTTTTCTATAAATAGCCAGCATATTTCTGTGGAATAAACTGTAGGTTCTGGTTTTTTCCCTTCCTTCCTTGACAGTGATCCAATCCAATCTTGGAGGATAGAGGGTAAGAGGCATACAGTTATTCTGTTGCCAGTAATTGAGGAACTGAGAAGGGATGGGTAAAAATGCAAGATAGCATATTCATTTTTTCTAAGGCATTGATTTAAATCAAACTCCAAAATAATCTAGATGGGAAACAAAGTACATTATTGAAATAAAACCTACTGTAAATGATAAACATGTACCCATAAACCATACAAACATCCTTCTTAGAAAGAATGGATTTTCTTTTTCTTTCATGGTGGGACTGAGCTTCTTTGACAGAATGTTTGATGGGATTTTAGCTTGGAAAGGTTGAGAACCATTGACCTAAGGTAGCTGTGGGATTCTCCTGAAACGAAAAAGAAATAGCAGTAAACACTTGGGTGCCTTTGGTGCAGGTGTTTGCCCACCACCAGCTGCAGATGAAGCCTTTGAAAGTGAAGTTCAGAACTTAAAGGCACTGATTAAAAAACGCACCGAAGTCTATGAAGCTGAAGAACGAGCTCTTCGAGTCATGCTGGAAGGAGAACAGGAAGAAGAAAGAAAAAGAGAAATGGAGAAGAAGCAGAAGAAGGAAAAGGAAAAGCTCCTGCAGCAGAAGCGTGAAATGGATTCCAAACTGTTTGGGGATCCAGGTAATTTTCAGAATGCTCAAGCTCTGTTTTTGGGGAAGGTGATTTACACTTGAAATCCAGGAATGCTCTGCTTTACTTATGTAGCCACATTGGGGCAGGGATAGTTTACATTGAAAGTGTTTATTTTGATTCAGTAACAAACAAAGTAAAGTAAAAGGAGTTACTACTACTCCCCAAATCTTTTATTTCTGTAGTTCCTCTATGTCAACACAAGAACTGACTAAATGAATTTAAAATCTTCAGCTCATCAACAAGTAAACTAGGAGACCTATTCTTACAATTAGTGGAGACTTTTATTTCTGTGGCTGGAAAGATTTCCTTAATTATTACTTATATTTTTAGAAGAATTTCCACTTACCCACGTCTTGGAGCCATTCACACAATATTATTTGCAAGCTGAATATTCCTTGCCGGCTCTCATCCAGATCAGGTAAGAGTCATTTGTTAGTAAATAAAACAATTTGGGTTGTTGGAGTTTTGCTGTTTTATATAAAAACCTGGAAATTCTTAGCTGTCTTGAATTAAGGGTCCCATATGAATTCCTTTTGAATCCCTTTGCTATAGATATTAATGCTCAGTTGCAATAAGTCTGCACAACTCCTGAGGTTTTAACCAGACCCAGAAACTGGAATGAATGGGGGCAAGAGACAACTTCTATGAGTCTTCTTTCCCACCCAATCCAAACTATTTCCTTGTGTGCTTTCTTTATTTCTCTTTAAATTAGGAGAGGTCATTTGTTTTTGTGATATATAAGCATTGCTCTAATGAAAGATGTAAAACCTGTCTCTAGCACGATTCAGCCTCTCTAGCCATAGTAGCATTAGTATTGGTAACCATCGCAGATTAGAATCTTGAGATCCTTATTCACCCCACCACTCAGACTCAGCAGGTCCCCCAGAAATAATGTTGCATTCACACCACATACTGAACCAAATCATTTATAAACCTAATGGCTGCATTTGCACAACGTGTTAAGTTTGGCTAATTATTTGTGGCTTAGCATGTTGTACAAATGCAGGCCATTTGGTTTATTGTGCAAGTCCACAAAATGGGTTAATTCAGTAACGGGGTAATGCAGCCTGTCTCTTAAATTAATCTACCTCACAAAGTAATTGTGAGGATACAATCAGAGTGGGTCTAATCTACACAGCTCCATGCTCTTGGAAGAAAGATGGGACATTAATTGAATTGGGTTTTTTTTAATGGTCCCCTGAGTAGCCACAATTCATTAAAATTGCCTGTAACCAAGTTTCTACAGTATTTTGCACCTATTTGTAAACTCTGTATTCAACTGTAATTGTTTGAGTACATGCTGTGGATAAAATAATTCAGACAAAGATTAAATATAGTGCTCAGTGTGTTGTCTAACTTTTTCTCTTAAAGGCATGAATGGGATCAATACTTGGTGCCTGCAGACCACCCTGAAGGAGATTTCATCCCACCAGGATGGGTCCTTCCCAGTCCACCATCCAGTGACACGTGGGCCACTGCTGTCAGGTGATGCCTTTGAAGTCCCATTGAAGCCAAGACATAGCATAATTTATCAGTTGGGGAAGGTTGCAATAGCAATGTGTGACTGATAACTCACCTTACAAGAGTTCCTTTGAGTTTAAAATACATTATAGGTGGCCAAAGGATACCGCAAAACGTTGGTTGATAAGACAAATACTGCCCTTTAATTGTTAGAAGTATGGCATTGATGCTTATTATAGTGCTCATAAGTCCTCTCAAGCATCTGCTTATACTTTAGCATCATAGGATTTGGATCATGAGAGAAGTATCAATGAATCACTGCTGTGTATGTGTTGGAGTGTGTGGGATAGATCCACACTTTAAAACAACTTTCCTCAGAAACTTATCTGGCTTTACCTTAAATGGGATGTAAATGCTATAAAATCAGTAGTGTAATCCCCAGCAATAGAGAAATAAAATATGCCATGGACCTGCAGGGCAACATTGGCTAATAGAGGCTAGATATAAAGCTCAGCTTATCTATGGAGCTTATATAGTTCAGAGACCATGGAATTAACGCATCAGCTAAATATTATTGTACGTGTCCTTAATGTAAAGTAAACTCTGGGAAGTCAGAATTAATTGCCTGAGGCAACATCAAAGATGTTTTCTTTGGAACAGTATCCAGATGTTCAAATTCCAGCTATCTTCCAAAACACCTCTGTGGTTAGCTTGGCCTTACATGGCATGAGTTAAGTGAATTGACAGATCTGGATGATAGTCACCTCTTTTGAAGTCTGAGCGGGTGCTTTCAAAAATTAAGGTGCTAAATTGGAATTGTATGGAGTGAATTAACAGTAGCTTTTCCATGTTGTCATAAAAACTGCATTTCATTTTTACACACATATATGATGCACATACTTAGGGAAGCTTCCCCCCCCCCTTTAAGTAGGACAACTAGAATAGGGATATAAGTTGAAGTATTTGTGTTGATTTATATTTCCATAATAACATCAAGGCATAGTTTGGTGTTCAGGGAAAGAGTCTTGAATTTGTGGGCTCTCCTGCTCTCTTATCTGTGTTTTAATAAATACCTCATGCTACCCTGTTTGCAACCCTCGTTGAAGGGCACATTTTCAATTTAAATAAATGGCTAGCTGTAATTTCCACAGAAACAGAAATCATTCATTGAAGTGAGAGAATGTAAAGGAGAGGGGATAGAGGAAGCAGACAAAGATTTTAAATTACCTGTGGATTATTAGCTGCTCAGGAAATCTATCTGTGCTTATGTAAATTTCCTATATAAAGTTCTTAAAATCAGTAGCACATTCTGCACAAATTCTGTGATTCGTAAATTGCAGAAAAACCAAGCATTGGTGGATTTCTCCACTGCCTCGTAAGTGCCATTTTGGTTATTATACACTCACTAGCTCCTTCAGATGTGTTTACTTCTGAAATACACTCATAGGTACTTAATACCAATTGCTTTGATTTAGCATTATTTATACTGGAAAGATTGAATATTCTATTAAATCCCATACTTTTCACTTCATTCCTTTAAGAAAAGTATATTGTTGTTATTTTAGCTTGATTTAACAAAGTATATTTGTATAACTAAACCAACAAACGTTGTTAAGCATCTTTTCTCAGAATAACTGAAACCTGAGGCATGGCTGTTCTTGAATTACATAAAAGAGCAGCTGTACCTGAATTGCTAGTACAAACCATAGCTGTTGTCTGGTACATGTATGCAATAACTAGATTTGTTAACCTCTTCTTGCAAGGTAACTGTCAAATAGTTGTGTAAAGCGTGCTTTTATTGTCCTGTAAAGCTTTGCAACAAAGTTGTCTGAAGTGTCCAGGATGCTGTAATGAGAAACAGTAAATTGTCAGAATGATGTATAGTCCTATTTAATAAAAATATATTGCCTTTTGTTTGTACTTAATAAATTATGAGCATTTCACACTTGTATGTGTACCTGGCATTTATTTTGCTTCCTTCCTGGCATGTGGGAATTTGCAGAACCCCCTTGGCAATGGCCATGAGTAGAATCAGTGGCTGCTGTTGGAGACAGAATTGTTGAAAATTTTTCTGCATGGTATTATAGAAAATACAGACCCAAAAATCATCTTCTCGCTTCCAGACTTTTTAAACTGAGACTGTCCTAGTTTTGTGTTTTGACTGTGCCAAGTGACCTATATATTGATTCTGGAGCTGCTTACCCCACTGGAATACTTGACCATAGAAGCTTACCAGCTTAAGCAGCATTAATGGTTAGCTCGAGAAGAGTAACCCAGGGCTCCCTTGGCTTTTTCTGTCAACACTTGGAGGTTACAGCCAACAAGAAGCCTCTGTCTTCTTCTGGCAGATGCCATTCAGATTCCTTGCTAAGGTGAGTTTTCCTTTACATAAGAAACAAAGGTGTGTGAAATGAAAGTTGTCAGTTAAGCTGAATAACTAGATTGAGGTTCATAGGTGTGTCTGTTGTGTGCAGACAGATATAAAGGTAAACCTAACGTTTCTTTAACAAATACATTTTTTTTAGCTCAGGGATTTAAATCCTTACATTGTTAAAATAATTTAATGTACTTTTTTATTGTTAATGTCTCATCAACGATATGCTGAGTACTAACTGTACAATCTTGGTTTCTTCACTTACAGATTTCTGTGTCAATTTTTTTTTCTTTTGCTTGCTTGTTTGCTCCTTTGTGTCTTTTTAAAAAAAAAGATGAATACATTTAAAAAAATTTTTTAAAAGGCATTGTATCTAATTATAACATTTTATTTAGTGATGATATCTTAAATTGCGACCAGAGGTAAATATTACAAGCCTAATATTCCAGCTGTAATCAGTTCTATGATGATACACTTTCTAGACAATAGAAATCTATTATCTTTTTCCAACTAGGAATTGCTAAAACAGGTTTTCATCTTACATCCTTAACTCAAATTGACAGAACAAAGGACTTTATTGCCTGCTTAGTTTTAATTGGTCCTTCAAATCCATCTTAGCACTGAATAACTTATTCAGTTGTTATGGTCAAAATTATTTTTAGGCAGCTTTTCCCAGCTTGATGTCCTTCACACCACTCTCGTTAGGAGTTACGTGAACTGTTGTCCTGAACATTTGGAGGACACAAGATTGATGAATTCTGTTCTGTGCTGTTTTACAGATCAGATATGAAAATACTACTCATTACCTGTTTTATAAAAGAAAGTTGTCACTGGTATCTATAAGCAGTTAAAATGTTTAGTAGATACCTGGAAACAGATTTCTGGAAATTGACAATTTTGCTTTATTGCCTTGAATGTTCTAATCATAACTTCCATCTGAATTGATTAATCGTCTTACTGTTTTTAATGCCTAAATGTTCCCAAAATGACAATTAACTCCAGACAGATCTTGTGTGCTATGTGCCTTTGGGGTAGGTTAATACATGGAGTTCTCTGGACTTAAGGAGAGCAAGTTCTCTTGCCTTAGGTTCTTTTAGGGTTGCAGAAGTGATTGCAGAATATGGCACATTTATCTGTCCACTCTGAAATAACTGGAAATAGTATGCTATGCCAGGACCCTAGAATTTGGGAGTGTCTAATCGTGGTTTATTGATAAATACAGATAAGTTGCAGATGGGCAGGAATTTGTACACAACTCCTGCAAAACTTTCCCTTTTGCAATATCTGTTTTTATATACCAAACTCAGAATGTAGAAACATAAGTAAACAGATTATCTGCAGTACTGCTCCTTGTAACTTCAGTCCCATATTTTGGATCTGAAGCAGTCCCCAATATCTTATGTAAAATATATATTTTTAATTTTACATCTAAATTGATATATGCAGTTAAAACTACTGATCAAAGCAAGTAGATTGGTGACTGTCACTCTTGCTTTGAGACAGGGCAAAATAAGAACATGATTCAGTGCTTCCTGCTTAGTTTGTTCAATCCCTCACCTTCACATGACACTCGGCTTATGTCTTTTGTGTTAGGGCAACAGATGGCTTCTGCCCTGGGAACATTCCCAAAAGTGCTGCCTGTGGAATGAGTTAAGAAAAATACATGTGCAGCACATTAAAGCTGGCTGTTGTCCACCTAGCTTCCCTGTAGCACTAAGTGATTTAATCTTTGCATTGGACATCTGGCAGTAAGTCCTTTGAAATGAACAGTAGCAATGAAAGGGTCTTAAGGTGGCAAATACACCTTGATAGTGCCCCACCACCCCAGCTCCTTTCATAATTGGCCCAAGGGGCACAGTTTGAAAACCCCTCTGGTTTGGGAGTAGTTAAACATGTCATCTAAAGAGAAGATACACACTACTTAGGTTGCCCTAATTCACAGAACGAAATCATGATTTAGAGTGGTTTGATAAACTAGCTGGAATATATGAGAAGGAACCCAGCAACTGAGTCCTGCTCTTACTTTACCCTGTACCAAGCTTGTTCAGCAGCAAAATGTGGTTTACATCTATATGTCAAAGAAGGTTGAGGAAGATTTGTAACCTGTTTCTCAAGCATCTCTCACCTGGGTAATCACTGCATTCTGCCTAATGCCAGGACTAGTTCACGTTTAGCCAAATATAAGCAAGTGTCCGAACATTTGATGTGGGTTCTTATGAAGCCCCCTGCAAAAGTTGTTGTCTTTTATTTGTTGTTCTTTGTGGCAGCTTGATTTTAATGGGTGTGATCCAGGTGAATAATGCAACACTATTTCAACAAGATTGTACGAGAGGGTTCCTCAAACCATCTTCTTTCCTCAGAGCAGCCCCAGTAGTGAGGATGAGTGGAAACAGCATCCCAGAAATCTCTCTTGTATTTCTTTTTATTAAATTCACCTAATAAGGGACGCAATGAGTTGCTTGGAAGACGTGCCTTTCAGAATGACCATAAGCTTTGTGGAAGATCTTGTGGGAGAAGACCACTTTGCCCACCATCCTGAGACTGAGCTGCCCAAGTGTGCAGAGGTCCTGACATGCACAATGGTAAATAGATCAATTCCTTTATTCCTTTCAATGGTTATGCTGAATAATGACAAGAGTATAAAATGATACCACTTTTACCAAAAAAGGAGATAACCCTGAATTTAAGACAAGTCCTTGAAAAAAAAAAGAAGGAACAAAAAATTGTAAGCACACCAAGACAATTTCTAATGCCAAACTTCCCCTCCTTGTAACGTTGGTTGCCAACTCCTGCTGAAACAAATCCAGAAGGTATGTTTCCCCAATAAATATGTATAACATGTTGACCAGAATCCATGTTCCCCCAAAGGGCAGGTTCATGACAAAAGTATTAATTGAATTAATAACTACTGATTGAATTTCACTGTTTGCAACAGAAAATATTCTCTCTGCACCACTGTATGCACACAGTCACACACAGCCGTCTACGTTCCCCCTTCCAGCAGAAATTACAACAAAAAAGAACAGGAGAATAGAAATGAGAATCAGTTTGGTGTTGGTGAAGGTGCTGGCTTAGAAACCAGGAGACTGAGTTGTAGTCCTCCTTTAGGCATGAAAGCCGGCTGGGTGACTTTGGGCCAGTCCCTCTCTTTCAGCCTAACCCACCTCACAGGGCTGCTGTTGTGGGGAAAAGTAGGAAGCAGGAATATTAGGTATGTTGGCCGCTTTGAGATGACCAGTATATATTTATTTTTGAAAAGGTGAGCTAAGTAATAAAATGAAATCTAATTATAAATAATAAAAATGGGCTAAGGGGAAGAGCCAGTTTGGTATAGTGGTTAAGGTACCAGGCTAGAACCAGGAGACTCTGAGTTCTAGTCCCACCTTGGGCACAAAGCCAGATGAGTGATCCTGGGCTGGTCCCTTTCTCTCAGCCCTAGGAAGCAGGCAATGACAACCCACTTCTGAAAACTTGCCAAGAAAACTGCAGGGACTAGTCCAGGCTGTCACTAGGAGCCAAAAACTGACTCGAAGGCACAAACACAAGGGGACACATGCATTGGGAAAACAAGGAAAGGAGGAGGTAAAACTGGGGGAAGATTGTTGTCTGTGATGGCGCAGGAGAGGGAAGAAGCAATTACCACTAAGAGCATTGATTCAAGAAATGTGTGCAATAGGGTATAGAAGCTCACCACTCTGTTCTAGAGTCCTTGCTCTCATCAGAGTATTTCTCTCTCTTGCAAATAGGAGAGATTCCCTCCACACTTCAAAGCCAGTTTTTTGGCAAAAGGCCTCTTCTATCTGTTCAGTAGGCTACAGATGGGCAAAACAGCCATGTTCAGAACATCCACGCTTGGACCGAAGCGTGTGTTCTCCCCAGGCATGGACTGGGATCATGCATGTTCCAGGCCCAGGTGCTCTGGGTAGGAGCCAGAAGGGGACAAGCAAAGCCATTGGTGGCTATGGAAAGAAGGTGCTAGGAAGATTGTGGGGAACAGCAGGCTTATGCTGCGCTTGCATGCAGCGAAGGGAAAGGAAGACGCTGGGTAGATATTAGAAAGGAGTAAGGGGTAATGCTGCTCTTGAATGCAAGCATGACGACAACCGTAGGCGAGGAAGCCATTGGGAAGAACCGGGAGCAGGCTGGTGACACCCCAAATAGGTGGTTGGGGAGGGCAAGGCTCACCAGTCTTGCGCCACTCTCCCCACGAGACTCTTCCAGAATTTGTTGTGGCCAGAACCCCGAGCAAATCAGATTTTGGTCTGGCCAAACCACAGCTCGCTTGGAACTTCCAAGCCATGTTGTTATGGAACAAGACACAGTTTCCAGTTTGTGCATACCACAGAGTACATACAAGAATTTAATTCTCCCGTGATTTTTATTATTTAGCCATAGGATTAAGGTTGGTGTTTATAAACATTTTGCAAGCCTCTCTTAAGGTGGGGAACTACATAACTAGAGCCTGTTTCAACAGACCATTATGAGAACGTTAGCAAGAGCCTCTGACCTGCACTTTCTTAAGTCTTTGATGACGGTGTTTTCGTTCCTTGCTAGGTAACGAAATGTACTTTTCTGTTTGTCCAAATTTACAAGCAAACAAATATGTTTGCTGGGCTAACGAGAACTGGTAATCTCAATTTGAGCCTGGATTGTATTTGTAATTTGCAGAGCAAGCTCCAATCGTAGTTTGTGGGGTTGAAATAACTAGTTTATTTTGGCTTGCCTTAAAATCAAAAAAAGAGGGCTGAATTGCCAAAGGGGGGGGGGGGGGGGGGGGGGG